TTTGTGTGCGTGTACCATCAAATCAGATCTGACTGGTACAGGAGGAGATTGCCCCTCCTTCCCCGGCAGAGCATCTGGTGGATTCGAACCGTGCACCTCTGGGACTGTAGTTACAGCTTCTTGCCACTAGGCCACCTGAGCTCCCCTAAAATGTTCAAAGTTTTATGTTACTGCTGTTAGGTGCCATGGAGTTGCCTATGACTCATAGCAACCTCCTATGAATAACAGATCTGAACCCTGTCCTATCAAGTGCTGTCCTCTCTGATATATATGAGCCCATTGTTACAGTCACTCTGTCAGTCCATGTTCTTGAGGATCTTCCTCTCTTTTGCTGATCTTTCCAAGCATCATGTCTTTTTCCAAGAAATGGCCCTTGCTAACATCCATGTAAGAAAAAGTTTCACCATCCTTGACTTTAAAGAACTCCCTTGTGTACTTTCTTTGAGATATATTTGATCTGCCTGTGAGATATTGAGTATTCTTCCTTAGCACCACAACTCAGAGGCATCAAGTCTTCATCTGTCATGCTTACTTATTGTTCAACTTTCAGATGCATAAGAAGTAATTGAAAAGACCATGGCTTGGATCCAGCCAAACTTAGTCTTTAAAATGGCATTGATGCTCTGTAGCACTTTGGAGAGGTCTTTGACAGCAGATTTCCCCCACATAACCTGCCTTTTGATTTCTTGACTGCTATTAACCATAGATATTGATTGTGGGTACAAGTAAAATGAAATTTTTGACAATTTTAACCTTTTTCCATCTCTCACGAATGGCGCCTTTTGATTCTGTGGTGAGGATTTTTGTCTTCTTGAAGTTGAGATGTAATCCATATTGAAGGTTGTAGTCTTTGATCTTCTGCAGCAAGTGTTTAAAATTCTTTTTACTTTCAGCAAAACAAGATTATGTCATCTGCATAATGCAGGCTGTTGATGAGTTGTCCTCCAATCTTGATGCCACATTCTTCATGAAGTTCGTGTTCTTGAAAAGCTTATAAATAATTGAGCCAGAGTTAGAACCCAAGTCTGTTTGATACCAGCCTTCAAACATTTTTACTGCACTACTGATGAACGAAATAGCAAATAGCCTGATCTTTCTTGGGTGTCATTTTATTTTTAGCATAGAATTAATATCTGCTAAAGACCACACCAAATCTAAAATTTTGTGGTTTTTCCAAGTTGAATGTTTTACCCTGAACCCTGGGATTAAGTTTACTGAATGCTGAGGTATAGTAATTAGCTAAGATTGAGATTGTTCACAGCTTTAGTTTGCTTGGCTCCACAGTCAACACTCTTGGCACCAGTAGCCAGGAAATTAAAAGGCATATTGCCATGGGAAAGTCTGCTGTTAGGGACCTCTCCAAAGTACTGAGGAGCAGTGGTGTCTCTCTGGAGACTAAGGTGCGTCTGATACAGGCCATGGTCTTTGCAATCACTTGTTATGCATCAGAGAGTTGGACAATGACCAAGGAGGATAGAAGGAGAATTGATGCCATTGCACTGTGGTGCTGGTGAAGAGTATTGAGGGTACCGTAGAGTGCTAGGAAGACAAACAGATTCATCCTGGAAAGGTTTAAACCGGGTGGCTCCTTGGAGGCAAGGATTCTGAGGCTCTATCTAACATACTTTGGACATGTTGTGAGGAGAGACTGGTCCTTGGAGAAGGACATCATGCTTGGGAGGGTGGAGGGACGGCGCAGGAGAGGAAGGCCCTCTATGAGGTGGATTGATTCAGTGACTAGGATAATTGGGATGGGAGTGTCAGAGACAGTGCGATTGGCACAGGACAGAGCAGAGTTTAGGGCTGTTATACATAGGGTCGCTGTGAGACGCAAGCGACTCAGCGACACATAACAATAACAACAACAATTAGAAACACACAATAATAGGAACAAATAGTAGAATTTATAGTAAAACTTGGAAAGGGAGCTTTGTGATTCTTAAATCCAGAGTTGATAAATGATCTCAGAAAAGAGACACCGTACTAGCTTGATGACCTAACCATTTAACAAGGTGGGAAAATGTATGACATTTACATGCATAGGGAGCTCTGGTGGTAGCGATACGGAGGTGCCTTGGCATCCCAATGGTACATGACTGCAGCTGCTCTGTGGAGGAGTGATGAGCACTCTCCTTTGTGATTTGCTGCCTTTGAAAAACCTGCTGCAGAATTAGCTCTGGATTGGTTCCCACTTGATGATCCACACAACACATATACGCATACATATGTCTTTGATTAAAAAGTCAGTACAATCAGTAATTTATTCATTGAAAATACTTTTTATAAGAAACACAAATGCCGGCTTTACATGGATTTCTCCTGATGGCATGCACAGGAATCAGATCAGTTACTTCTGTGGAAAGAATCGCTGGAGAAGCTCAATATCAGCTGTGAAAACTAGGCCAGGTTCTGATTGTGGAACAGATCACCAGCTGCTCATATGCAAGTTCAAGCTGAAGCTAAAGAAAATGAAATCAAATTCACAGAAACCAAAATCTGACTCTGAGTCTATCTCACTTGAATTTTAAAACCATCTAGAAACAGATTTGAGACCCTGAACACTAATGAGTGAAGACCAGATACATGAGCTGTGGGAGGATATAAAGAATATCATCCGTGAAGAATGCAAAAGGTCATTACAAAGACAGAGGAGAAAGAAAAGACCAAGGTAGATGTTAGAAGAGACTCTGAATATTGCACTGGAGTGCCAAGAAGCCAAAGCAAAGGGAAGAAATCAAATTAAGGAGCTAAACAGAAGATTTCAAAGAGTAGTATGAGAAGGCCAAAAGCAAAGTCTTATAATGATATGTGCAAAATCAAAAGGTCTGAACTTACTTGGTAGTTTTTAAATGGAAGGCTCTGAAGAACAAATTCAAGCCTCAAGTTGCAATACTTAAGGATGCCTTGGGCAGAGAAGCATTAAAAGAAGATGGAAGGAGTATGCAAAGTCACTGTGCTAAAAAGAATTGGCTGACACAGAAGAATTTAATGAAACAACATATGAGCAAGAGCCTTTAGTGATTAAGGAAGAAGTTCAAGCTGCTCTGAAGGAATTGGCAAAAAACAAGGCCCCAAGAATTGACAGCATACCAAATGACATATTTTAACAAACAGGTGCTGCACTGGGTGTGGTAATCAAGTTATGCCAAGAAATCTGGAGGAAAACCACCTGATCAACTGACTGGAAGAGATCCCTATTTCTTCCCATTCCAAAGAAAGGTGACCTGACAGAGTGTGGAAACTATCGAACAATATAATTAATATCACATGCAACCAAGATTCTGCTGAAACTTATCCAAAAACAACTGGAATAAGCACATCAATAGAGAACTGCCAGATGTGCAGGCTGGGTTTAGAAGAGGCTGTGGTACTAGGAATATTATAGCTAAAGTTAGACCAATCTTGGCTGAAAGCAAAGCATACTGAAGGAATGTCTTTTTTTCTTTCCCCCCTTCATATTTATTAATAATTTTAATGAAAATTTACAGACTTTGGATTTCCATTCATTCATTGCTGTACTTTTCTCCCTGCCCACTCCTCCCCTCAGTTCTTTCCTCTCTTTGAAAAGTAAAAGAAAAATTCTTTCATTGTTATATAATCCCTCCCCACAAGTCCAGTCCACTATACAGCCTTTGCTCTAGACTCCTGTCGTGACAATAATACCTAATTATATATTCCTTTTTAACACTTTCCTCCCTCATCTGTTTCAATACAGTGTACATTATTTGTCTATCTTTTTTTCATTGACTATGCAAAGACATATGACTTTGTGGATCACAACAAACTATGGGTAACTCTGAAAATAATGGGAATCCCAGTGCTTTTGTGAAACCTATACTTGGACCAGGAGGCAGTCATCAGAAGAGAGCAAGGAAACATTGCAGGGTTCATAATTGGGAAGGGTGGGGAGCTCTGGTGGCCTAGTGGCAAGGAACTGCAACTAAAATCCCAGAGGTGCACGGTTCGAACCCACCAGATGCTCTGCCAGGGAAGGAGGGACAATCTCCTCCTGTACCAGTCAGATCTGATTTGACAGTACACGCACACACACACAAAAAAAAATTAAAAAATTGGGAAGGGTGTATGCCAGAGATACAGCCTATCTCCATATCTGCATATTTTCAATCTATATGCAGAACAGATTATCCAGGAGACTGGGCTCTATGAGGAGGAATGTGCATAAGGATTGGAGGAAGACTCCAACCTGTGTTATGCAGATGACACAACCCTGCTTGCTGAACCTGAGGAGGACCTGAAGAGCTTGCTGCAGAAGGTCAAGGACTGCAGCCTTAAATTTTTTTTTAAGTTTTTTTAAGCCTTAAATATGGATTGCAGCTTAACCTGAAGAAAACCAAGATTCTCTCCAGTGGGCCGAATGGCAACATCATGGTAAATGGTGAATAGATTGTTAAGAGCTTCAGCTTGCTTGGCTCTACAGTGAACACTCTTGGTACCAGCAGCCAGGAAATCAAAAGACAAATAGCATTGGCAAGTCTGCTGTCAGGGACCTCTCTAGAGTACTGAAGAGCAGCAGTGTCAGTCTGGAGACTAATGTGTGCCTGATCCAAGCCATGGTCTTCGCAGTTACTTGCTGTGTGTCATAAAGCTGGACAATGGCTAGGGATGATAGAAGGAGAATTGATGCCTTTGAGCTGCGGTGCTGGAGAAGAGTATACACAATGGACTGCTAGGAGAACAAACAAGTTCATCCTAGTGAGAGTGAAATCAGGCTGCTTCTTGGAGGCAAGGATTCTGAAGCTCCATCTGACATACTTTGGGCATGTTGCAAGAAAGGACCAGTCCTTGGAGAGGGACAGCATGCTTGGGATGGTGGAAGGACAGCACAAGAGAGGAAGACCCTCAATGAGATGGTTTAGAGCTGTTGTACATAGATAGAATTGCTATGAGTTGCAAGTGACTCAACAACACGTAACACATAACAACACGTGTTTAATTTTTTTTTTTTTTTAAGATGCTTAAGTAGGTAATTTTACTTATGGTTTGGCTTTGAAAAACCAGAAGAATTTTTTTTTAAACAGTACCAGAGATGAAACTAGATCTCTACAAATGTGGGAGCTTGCAATTCAGAGGATAGTGAATGAGGAACCCTAGATAGTAATTAATTTGGCCAGGCTACTTCTGTTTACCAATGATTATTAGTTTCATTAGTAATTATGGAAGTAAGTAAGTGTCAAATACTACAGAGACAATTACAGGGAAACTAGGATCAGAATTTAGAAATGCTGGCTTTAGGCGAATATTGTTGCCATAAGAAATAGACTTCTAACTCAGTTGAGGAAGTGAATTTTATTTTTGTTACAGTGGAAGTCCTGAAGAGTTGAGCCTTTGGTTGTTTAAATGTTCATTTTTTAGTAAAAGAATGGAGCTTGTTCATTTTCCACGTCAGTTAAAGATAGCTTAGAAGAATGTTCTCATCTCCTTTCTGCTAATCATATAAATTTACATATCTTTATATGTATATTTAAATAGGTATAAAGCAAGAGCTTTTATGTTTTATTTTATTATGAGAAATCTTAAGGGCATGGAAATGATTGATTACATTGGTGTGGTGCAACTGCTTTTTTTTGAGAATGAAAACAGGATTTTAAAAGATCTACACTTTTCCTTTTAAAGAAAACACAATAATCGTTCTTACTCATGAGTATATCATTCTTGTTTCCCAGAATGCATGTTTAATTGCTCTGGAGATGTTCGCTATTGATATTATTTGTTGTCTGCGTTTTAAGTTTAAAGGCCCAAGGAAAGGCTTGGGTCGCTCCAGAATCTCTGTACTGTTATCACTTGCTGAAATCAGATTTGTAAAGTCATATCCCCTGCATCTTGAAATTATCTTATAGCACTTTATCTGTTGTTTTTCAATATGCTAATACATATAGGGATTGTTAGCTAGGAAGATTAACATTCCTAGCCAAGAGAATTTATAAAACAACAAAACTTGGTGCTGTCAAGTTAATTCCAACTCATAGCTCTCCTGTAGTCTTAGCAGGTTGTTTACTTTGTTTATCAAGGCCAACTTAGTTCTAGAATCTCTAAGCCTCTCTAGCAGTTCGAATCAGCCAACAGCTCTAAGGGAGAAAGATGGGCAGTCTCCTCCCACGTGATTGACAGCCTTCAGAGACCTCCTGGGAAGTCAGCTGTGAGTCAGTTCCAGTTTGACAGCAGTTGAGTTTGAAATTTTTTTAAGTTTTAAACTTTTGAGAATCATATTTGGTGTGTTTTTTTTTTCCCTTCTCATGTACCGTGTTCAACTGGAACAGTAAGAGATTGCACATTCTTCTCTAACAGCATCTGGTGGATTCGAACCATGCACTTTCGGGATTGCAGCACAGCTTCTTGCCACTAGGCCACCAGAGCTCCCTATACTGAGAATCAATTTCTTTGTATTTCTTTTTCAGGGGGTCAAGGATATTCCTGAAAAATCTGAATTGAGTCTTCATAATAAATAGATATGTTGTGAATAAGCTGTTATAGCAGGTATCAAAATGAGCATGTGCACCTTGACATAGCCATGCAGGGGTGCTGCCTGATAGATGGTGTCATGGCTGCGTTGACTAACAGGATCTTTTTTTCGTGTCATATTACAGAGACTTAAGAAACAATGAAATTTCGTGGGCCATAGAAGATGCTAATGAAGCCTTTGCTGGACTCACGAGTCTCACTAAATTGTATGTATTCATAATATATGTGTTCCTATAAAGGGTATACTTTTTTAGATCAGTTGTAAATGTGATTGTATTATGTCTGTTTGATTAGGCAGGAAAAGTCTGAGCTTTCTGGCCCTCTCTAAAGGGAGCAGCAGTTTTGTTATTAAACTTTTTTAGGCGGTAGGAGGGAGGCAGGCCTTTCTGTTGAGGAAGCATTACTGTGTGCACATAGAAGTTTTTATGGAGTTACAATAGTTACTCAGGTATTAGAAGTGTACTGAGAAGTCAGAGTAGAGCTAGCACCTGATTTATTTAGATGAGATGGTTTGTGGGTAATTTGTCTAGAAAGGGAGGATTTTTTCAAGTAAGATTTTAGATCCCTTCTCATAAGAATTTCTCTTTAAGAGTTCACACTTACCTGAAATTTTTTGACCTGATGACCTTTTGCTAAGAAGGGAGAAACTGGGACTGTGACTCAATTTATGAAAACTACCAGTTTACCAATGGTCAGGGTGATTGTCCAGAGACACTTCATGGAACACCAATCTTAATAGAAACCTTCATGTTACTCTCTGTGTTGTTTGATAATAAAGTTTCAAAACTGTCTTAAATGCATATTAAGCTTATTTTCCCCTTTCATAGGTAAATATGTAATGAATTTAATTTTATTTACTGAGAAGGTTTACTGAAAGGTTTGTTTATATTTTAGAAATTTACAAGGAAACCAGATTAAATCAATTACAAAGAACGCATTCATTGGTCTTGGATCCCTTGAACATCTGTAAGTATTTTACATATATTTTGCTCACTATATAAATAATCTTTGCTATTAGCAGAGGGTTTTGTGACCACATAAAGTGTTTTTATAACTTAATTGTAGAAATGTGACTGGCAATGTTTCATTTCTATTTTTTCAGAGATTTAAACAACAATGCTATAATGTCTATCCAGGAAAATGCTTTTTCTCAGACTCACTTGAAGGAACTGTAAGTAACTTAAGTTTGTTTTTTTGGTTTTTTGTGTGTGTGTCACCAATTAGATTATTATTCATGCTTGGGTTTAAAATGGTGATGACTCTTATCTAGCTGTTTTTAAAAGTTCGTTGTTCAAGGAGAGAAAAAAGTATTAATATTCAGTATTTTAGTGACTGGATAAGTTTTGAAAATGACCCTACACTTAAGAATTCCTGAGTGTGTGACATTAAGGTCTTCTATTTGCCTGATGCCAGCACTTGTAGTTGGCAGTTTTCCTGTGCTAATTGTATAACATATGCACGGATGTTGCGGCACACCCTGTAGAAGGGTTCTAGCTTACCTTTATCACTAACTGCGTGGCAAGGATTGGCATGAATCCAGTTCCCAGAAGGAAATGGATCCAGGCTTGCCTTTCCTGTATCTTGTGTATACCTTGTGGCCAGCCATTTTCATGGTAGTTCCTCCCTCCCTCTCTCTCTGACCCTGTAGTCCTGTAGGACTAGCTCACAGCTAGAAGGCCTTGATCCTTCTTTATCTATTGCTTGTGGAGCCTTTCCCTGTCATCCAGCTGCCCACGGCTGGGTCCACACAAATGGACTCTGTACTGTCAGCTCCTATTGGCCCTGTTAATTCTCTAAAACAGCTCACAAAAGTCATGGAGATTATGAGATGTACTTACAGCTACCTACTAATATGATGTTTTCACTACTACAATCCTCCAAGAGAGCTCCAAAGTCCAGAGTCCCTATTTTCATTGAAATATCTGTCTCTCTCTTTTCCTCCCTGCCTACCTCCCTCCTTCTCTTCTACCCCTCAACCCCAAGTGCATTTTTTATCTTGATTTCCCATCTTGTTTCTTTCAGATCTTTTCCCAGCTGTCATCTCTTCAAAAAGACCTTTCCCAATCACTATCAAACTAGTAGTTTGGGAACTGTATTTTCTAGCTTTTTTTTTCTTCTCTGTAGTATTTATCGCCTTCTGACATACAGATTTATTACCTGATTTTATATATGTAAGCTCTGTGAGGGGTTTATCTCCACAACCTAGAATGTTGTTGTTATGTGCCATCAAGTCCCAGCTCAGAGCTGACCTTCCAACAGATTTTCAGAGGCTGGTAAATCACACAGGAGTGCGTTGTTCTGCTGTGTCCTGCGGAGCAGCTGGTGGATTCAAGCCTCCAGAGAAGCACCACCCTTGGATCGGCAGAGCATCCTGGTACAAACAAGTCCATCAGAGCTCCCCACACAGACACATGCATATAGTGCATTGCAGACATCACACCTTGTTATCTGTAAATATCTCAGCTTCTGTTTACTAAGCATAAGGGTACTTTCCTACATAACCACCACATTGTTCAAACTCAAGGAAATTAACTTTGGTAAAGTAATATGTAACCTGTATGCACATTCTTTCTGTGTCAGCAAATGTCATTTGTAGCTATTTTTTCTTCCCAATATAGGATGCAGTCAAGAGTCAGACATTTGATTGTAATGACTTCTTTCATCCAAAATAATTAATCTTCCCTGTCCTCTTTTCCTTTTAAATTATCATTCATAAGACTAACTTACCTGAAGAATTGAAACTGACCGTCTCACTTTTTTTTTTTTTTTTCCGTAATTACCAATTGACATTTTTCAGCTAACAAATGCTGCTCTGGATGTGCTCACCACGTTGTGCCAAGAAATCTAGAGAACAACCACTTGGCCAACTGACTGGAAGAGATCTATATTTGTTCCCATCCCAAAGAAGGATGACCCAACAGAGTGTGGAAACTATAGAACACTATTATTAATTTCACATGCAAGCAAGATTGTACTGAAGATCATCCAAAAACGACTGGAACAACACATCAGCAGAGAACTGCCA